ACATGTTTGCAATAATCACTATCTTGCATCTGTCTAAGGAGGAATGCTTGACTCACGAATTCTAAACTTTGACAAAAGGACATAAGTCAGACGTCAGACTGTCAAAGCACTTTCTATCAATGAGGAAAGATTAGATATGATATAGGTGAAAGTAGTTGTTTAAATAGTGAATCTAAATAATAATTTTAAAAATGCCAAATTTCCAAAATCCTTTTTTCATTCTGCTTCAGTTAATTCCTATTTTTCCTTATATTGATAACAAATAAAATATATAGTGTAGGAATGTACATTAGCAACAATATTGATTATCAAATTTCAAAGCTTAATAATATTGTAAGAATGGGAAGAATGAGTGAATGAAACTTGGATATGATTTTTCTTCTCTATTATACTGCTTTTCTTTCCCTCTCTCTTCTATCCTCTTTCAATTAGCTCCATTCACATCTTCAAGGCATTTCTTTTAACAATTCAGCCGGGGAGAGAGTGTTCCTAAATGAGAAAGGGGAAGCAAGAGGTGGTTTCGACATCATCAACTTGATCACTTTTCCAAACAGATCCTTTCAGAGAGTGAGACTTGGAGAGATGGATCTAAAGGCTCCAAAAGGAAAGGAATTATTCATTGATGAAGATCTAATTGTCTGGCACCCAGCTTTTAACCAGGTATTGAATTAGTGATTCCACCTTAATCCATCACTATCCGTGCCTTAACCCATTATTATCCCATGTTAAAGTGTCTTAACAAATCTAATTTCTATTTTTTTAAAATAATGTCATATTCTTTCAAATGTTGTGGATGAGATTTCTCAAATTGACAAATATGATATTACAATATAAAAGCCAGGATTGCATATTTTGTGGCCATATCCACCAAAATCACAAGAGTGGCCATGTTTCCATGAGATTTTCACCATGTAATAATTATTTATTTACCTTGCTCTTCAGACAAGAGTTTGTGTGCCTCAAATTCAGTATCCCTTTGGGAAGTCAATAATCATGTTACTCCATTAAGGAGAAAATTCAGAAACTGTCTTTAAAATTCTCCTTTTCAAAATATTTTCATGTTTATCATTAGGTTCTTCCATTATCTCGATGCAATGACCCTTGTTTTCCTGGATCCTGGAAGAAAGGAAATGAGGGGAAAGAGTTCTGCTGCTATGACTGTGTGACATGCCCAAAAGGGAAGATTTCAAATCAAACTGGTAGGGTAGAAATTCTGTGACATTTCATTAGACTTAAGCTAACTTTCATAAATGGCATGGGTGCATAAAAATAATGCAATTTTCAATAATTTGGAAGGCCTAGATGACAAATTCCGTGATTTTTCTTCCAGATATGGATGATTGTTCTCAGTGTTCAGAAGATCATTATCCAAATCAAGAAAAGAATGGATGTATCCCAAAACTGGAGGTGTTTCTAACCTTTGAAGAAACTTTAGGGATTGGTTTAACTTCAGCAGCTCTTTCTTTCTTCTTCTTGACCACTTGGGTACTTGGAACCTTTATTAAGCACAGGGATACTCCCATTGTGAGAGCAAACAACAGGTCCCTCACATACACCCTGCTGGTCTCTCTCCAGCTCTGTTTTCTATCCTCTTTGTTGTTCCTCAGCCAACCTAGCAAAGTGACATGCCTTCTCCGTCAACCAATGTTTGGCATCACTTTCTCGGTGGCCATTTCTAGTGTTTTGGCCAAAACTATCACTGTGGTTGTGGCTTTCATGGCCACTAAACCAGGATCTCAGATGAGGAAATGGGTAGGGAAAAGATTGGCTCTTTCTAATGTACTTTCCTGTTCTATCATCCAAGCATGTATTTGTATTCTTTGGTTGTCAACATCTCCCCCATTTCCTGAGTTGGACATGCATTCACAGGCTCAAGAAATGATTTTACAGTGCAATGAGGGGTCAGCTTTCTTCTTCTACTGTGTGTTGGGCTACATGGGTATCTTGGCCATTGCCAGTTTTATTGTGGCTTTTCTTGCCCGTAAATTACCTGACACTTTTAACGAAGCCAAGTTTATCACCTTCAGCATGTTGGCCTTTTGCAGTGTGTGGATCTCCTTCTTTCCAGCCTATCTGAGCACAAAAGGAAAAGCCATGGTAGCTGTGGAAGTCTTCTCCATCTTGGCCTCCAGTGCTGCATTACTGGGATGCATATTCCTGCCAAAGTGCTACATCATTGTTCTCCGGCCTGACCTCAACCAGAGAGAGCAACTCACAAAGAGAAATTAGTACATCATGTGATCTTTCTTGCTAGGAAAAATTGCTGACAAAAATGACGACCACGTGATCTCTAAAAAAATTTGTAGAAGTTTCATTTCTGCCAATAGAGGCTTTAGGTAGGATTATTGTGTGTAGCAAGGTTTATTATAGTTGCCTATTCCAAAAAAAAGATGAGCTTTATTTTCTACATTTCCGAAGACTCTTGAAAATTCCTTTGTGTCCTTTTCAACACTCTGTTTCAAAAGACTTTGACAAAATTGATTGGCCATGTGCTGTTGGGACTTTTCTGGCATTGACTCAAAGTGTGTCCAATATATTACATGCTACTATCATGATATATATGCCTTCTATTTATAAACCACAATGTAAATATAGTCAAGATCGGAATATCATTTTGTAGACATGAATTTAACCCAGCATCATGGTTTCTGAATGCTGTACATTGCACCTTGTTTTTTAAAAATGTTATCTTAGATCATTACCATTCATTTTTAATCTGCAAATACAGCTCCACTGTAATTGATTATCATATTTTAACAATATAGAAAACTAATGTATTGAAATAAAATATATTCTCGCTTCTGCCTCATTCTTTTTTCAAAGTGTATACTGCCCAGCAACTATAATAAAGAGGGACTTTATTTGTGTAGGAGAAGACTGGTAGAGCCAGGGGGAAGAATGAAAAAGGGATCAGTTTGAGAACTATCATACCCCCAAGTGCAACCCCCCTTGAATGCTATTAACCATTGTTTAATTCTAACCATACTAGCTGATAACCTGGCATAGCCTGGGTGTGCATTTATCCCAATTCCCAAGAGAAAGCCCCCATCTGAAGTAGTGCCCAGCCGTTACCATGGTAACTCCACTATGCTGTACTATAGAAGCCATTTTAAGGCACAACAGGCTGTATCTTAACAGAACTTGAATCCAAAATGCACTCTATCCCCAAATGCACACTATCACTGCACACTATCACTGTCAAAAGTACTATGACTTGATACTATAGATGTAATTCAGTCCTTTTCATTTCAGCAGCCCAGGCATTCCAGAGTTATGCTGGAACACACAGAGACATGGACATATCCCAAGGGGTGTTAGGGGTGTCTTACCCCCATAGTACTTGTTTCCAGAGAGTAAGTGATCTGTGTACCAAGTTTCGGTTGAAATTGCTCAAAGCATATGTGTGCATATGCGGCAGAAACCCAAAGCTCCTGGCCAGCAGGAGATGTGCATGCATGTGCAGTGCAGCTGAGCTGCAGTGATGGATCGGAAGGCTCCACATACGTGCCATAGGTTCACCATCATGGCTATAGGGCAAGGATACAACTTTGGAGAATGTTGGTTGGATCACCTCCGGTTCACAAGAAAAACCTTCCTTGAAGTAGAAGACCAAGGAATGGTGTTTTTGGAAGCACACAAAGTGTATGTTGTGCTGATTTCTCTTGATGATACATGGGACAAGTTGGTATGAATTGAAATTTAAGGAACTTCCTTGTATGAAACATTATGACATATCAAGTAAATACTTTTTATCTTAGATACAGGAGTGGGATCCCACCGGTTAAACAACCAGTTCATTGAGCATGTGCGTCACAATTTGCAGAGAAATCACCTTCTGCATTACGGCTGCGGAGGCAAACAGAATGCCATTCATGTCACTCTGCCGTGCCTGTCAGCTACGGTTAAGAAAAGGGAATATACATTAGTTCAGGGGCAGCTGAAAATTGGAGTGAACCAGTTCTCCCAAACCTGTCCGAACTGGTAGAATCCCACCCCTGCTTGAGCCACTTCCCTCAAAATTTCTGATATGACTAAAAGTGTTTTAGCAGAAAAGTAAACTTTATATATAATGTAAGCCACTCTGCCTTTCAACTATTTCTANCCCATTGTGGAAACTCTTAATATTTTCTGCATGTGGAATCAGCATGAAAAAACAACCTAGAAATAAGGAGGAATTTCCTGATAGTGAGAACAGTTAACAATTACTGTATTTTTCAGAATATAAGACACACTCCCCACCAAAATGGGTAAAAATTGGGGTGCGTCTTATACAATGAATGTTGCGGAAGCCCTGCCCACCTGCTGGCCCCACCTTTTGTTCATTTTCTGCCTTTGCACATCGTGTTTTGGCCTCCACACGTTCTATTTTAGACCTGTTGCAGAGTACGGGGTTCACCGCAGCTCATTGCCACCTCCATGCGCTGCATTTTTTCCTGATGGTGAGAACAATTAACAATTAATTGGTGGAACAGCTTGCTTTCATGAGTTTTGAATGCTTCAACACTGGAGATTTTTTACAAAGAGAAGGATAGCCATTTATCTGAATTAGCATAGAGTCTCTTCCTTGAGCAAAGTATTGGATTAGAAAACGTGCATGTCCCTTCTGGCCCTGATACGCATTTCTGTATTAAATAGAAACAGAAAAATGGTTTCTCTTGTTATTCTAATCAGTGAGAAGCTACCGTATGAATTATGGTTTATACGTCACTGTTAGCTATTTAGTAAATTACCAGACATTGTACAATAAGAGATAATTGGAACGTTAGTTTAGATTACTCTTCATTGCCACCTCCAAAAATAATCAATTGTCCAAGAACTTTGTACATGGCTTATGAACCCTCCATGGGGAACAAGCTGAATTTTCTGTCTCTTTGAAAGTGGTCCTTCTTAGATGTGGCATCCATAGTATGAAACATGAAACATGTTTGCAATAATCACTATCTTGCATCTCTCTATGGAGGAACGCTTGACTCCCAAATTCTAAACTTTGACAAAAGGACATAAGTCAGACGTCAGACTGTCAAAGCACTTTCTATCAATGAGGAAAGATTAGATATGATATAGGTGAAAGTAGTTGTTTAAGTAGTGAATCTAAATAATAATTTAAAGAAATCCAAAGTTCCAAAATCCTTTTTTCATTCTGTTTCAGTTAATTCCTACTTTTCCTTATATTGATATCAAATAAAATATATAGTGTAGACATATACACTATCAACAATATTGACTGTCAAATTTCAAAGCTTAATAATATTGTGTCAGCGTTCCAAATACCATGTAGAATCAAATCAGAATCGAAGGCAAAACTATACTTAAAGTTCCAATTTTATAAAGCAGGCAT